TTTATTGATTGTAGATTTGTTTGTTTCCTCCTGATTTTTTGTTTTATTTGGTTATGTCTGAGCAGGTGGGCTGTGCCTTCTTTGTTGTTTGCTCATCTGTGGGAATGATACTTTTCACCTCCTTCTCCAATGGGCAGGGTCAGTCACTCAGGTATGCTACAGTAAGGCAGGTCCAGCTGAAGGGGTGTTGATGGGATGGGTTGTTTGTGGCACGTACTAGGGCCGACAAGGCAGACCAGGAATCAGTGTAGGGCAAGTTTCGGTACCCCGTGCCTGTGCTGCTTGGGGGTGTGATGTTTAGCGCACAGTGCAGGTAGGCAGGAAGGAGGGGGGAGATTGTGATGTGTGGAGCTAAGATGGGTATGGGAAAGAGGAGAGAGGAAAAGGAGCCAAAAATATACACACAAACAAAAAACATGTCTAACTCTGCAGTGCTAGTCGTTAACCCTGTGTAAGTGTGCTTGAGGCTGGAATACCAGGAAGGATCAAGGGGACCGAGATTCTGTTTCTCCCTCAGTGCATGGCTGTGGGCTGACTTGTGAAAGCTGCCCATCCTCCATGGGGAGGAATTCCAGCTGAATGGACCACCGGTGTGACCCAGCCTGGCCATCCCTCTGTACCAGTGAGAAGGAATGTCAGTTCTAATGGTCACCTTTTATGTCTCTGCTTTTTATTAAAGGGGTGGCTAGAAGTATTTGTTCTAATTAATTTTAAAGGCCAGCCATTTTCATCTACTCCTGTGTTCTTTCTCTCTTGTGGAATGCAGGCATGTCACTTAAAGAGCATCGGAGAAGGCCCAGTTATTTACGTACATCCCACTAAAATTGATTTTGGCAATATCTACGTCCTAAAAGACTTCTCCAGGGTTCTCAATCTGTCCAACCAGTCCTTCATTCCTGCATTATTTCAGGCACACATGGTGAGTAGGTTGTGGAAATGCCATCTGATGAAAACACAGCTTTGGAATATCTTTTATAGGCAGTGGGCCTATTTTTACAACATGTCATTGAAAATGATCACTGGAAGCAGAGATTTATGTGGTCAAACTGCACTAAACCATGTCATCCCCACCTGCAGTTTCTCTTTATTAGAATTATCTTAGTGATTAAGAAACACAATGTGCATGTCTTTTTGTAAACAAGTAAATAAACTTAATATAATCCCAGTTTGGGAAGCTGTTCCAGAGGTCAGCGAGATCTGCTTACTGAACTCTACCTAAGCCCAGGACCTCCCTCCAAAAATACTTATTAAATGTCTCTGTAACTGAAAGCACTTCCTTATATTTAATTTTAATCCCTCTGGCTACAAATGTGTTAGTATGTTTATTCTATTTGTATTCTTCTTCCTTCTAGGAATATTTTAGTTTATAAGGATTTGTGAAATACAACGAGATAGTATTCACCCCAAAAAGTAGAAATGAAAGAAAACAGCAAAGCAAAGATAGATATAAATGGTACCAGAAATGAGTGTAAGAGTGTATGTCACAATGACATTTACACCTACTAGTGTACTATAACCTAACTTTTTTCCATAAGATTAGAGATAATTTTGTTTTTTTATAGAATTTAGGAATTTCTAATCTAGTAATTTGGAGCCCTGGTGGCACAGTGGTTAAGAGCTATGCTGCTGACCAGAAGATCGGCAGTTTGAATCTACCAGCCACTCCTTGGAAACCCTATGGGGCAGTTCTACTCTGTCCTACGTAGGATCGCTATGAGTAAAAATCAACCCGACAGCGATGGGTTTTTTTTAAATCTAGTAATTGAAAGTGTTCTTGATTTTAGAAGTAATTTCTAAATATGAATATAAAAGTTTAAATAGTATAGCCCTCCTCCTATCCCCAAATTATTGGTGTTTAAATAAGAGCTAACATTTAGTTTCACCACTTGTCAGATATCTCTGGAGAATAAAATATTAGTAATTTTATAACAGTCAGTTTCAGAAGAAACGGTTCCAGAGTTTCCTACTGACTTGTGAAGGCTCCTCAGAGAGTCATTGGTCCTAATTAGTAGCCATTTATCATTATCATTATCGTTATTGATTTTTTCATTATATTTATTGTTACTCCTTATAAAGACAGCCATTTCCAGGTACAGTTACTCCTCTTTTTAACATAAGGTTCTGACACAAACCCAGTGCTTTGTGGCTCTTGCATAAAGAGTAATGTTTAATAGTGTTTAAAGAAAAACCCTATAGAAAAGATGCTTACACTAGTCTTTATCCACTTGATTAGTTAATGTGTTTAGTAGAAAGCATGATATATTGCTTAGGAAGTTTCGCTTCATGGTCTGGTTTTTTATGTGCAGAGTTGATGGTTGGAGAGGAAAAGGGTCAGGGATCTGTCCAGAACACTGAGGGGTTGACATGGGAGGATCTTAGTGGTTACAGAGGAAGGAGATGGTGGAGACTGAAGGTGAAGACCTTAAGAAAGCTTAAACGCAAATACGGCAACTATTCCCTCTCTACAGCCCTCCTTTCCTTCTCAGATATCTCCAGCTTTCACTTTTATGGTAACTTCCGGTGATGTTTTTAAAAATAAAAGCATATCAAAGGTCTGTTGTTTGTTATTAATATATTGAATGACCCAACTGGTTTGTTAATATGGGACTTTTCATTTTCCACAAAGGTTTTATGATCCTAGCTTTTGATTGTTTAATGCCATCTTAAATCAATGCACTCCAGTTCCAGTGAACAAAAGTGTGATATCAGTGATCTGCTGTAGAATTTTTTTCCCTCTCAAACCTCTCTTGGAAGATGTGATTACTGAGTTGATTGCCCTTATAGCATAAAAGTAGGGGCCCAAAAGTTTGATGCTTTGAACCCACCAGCTGCTGCACAGGAGGAAGATGTGGCAGTCTGCTTCCGTAAAGATTTACAGCCTTGGAAACCTGATGGGGCAGTTCTACTCTGCCCTATAGGGTCCCTATGAGTTGAAATTGACTAGATGGCAACAGTTTTTTTTTTTTTTTTAATAGCTTGAAAATAGTCTCAGCTGTAGTTTTCTTAGGTGAAAATTAAACTCATTTCATATTTCAGCTGGAATTTTTGTTGGATTTCATGGTATATGTTATACATGTTAGTATTATAGAAATTAAAGCTGACTTAGAAATTAACTACAGTGGGAAGATAGTGAGATACCATTTATTGAATTTCAACTTGATGTACAGTAATGAACCTTCAAATTCATTCTCACAGAAATTCCTAAGCATTAGAGGAGAGTTTCAATTCATTGTTGTTTGCTTCCTATCCAAGCCTAGAGCTCAATACCCAGGTTAGTGGCAATGAAATACTTGTTGCATTTAATTCCTAGCTCACTCTGAAGTATGTAGGGCCAAGAGCACATTCTTTACTTCTTCTATTTTTGCTACAAATTCAGTTGCTAGAAGTTGTTCTTCTCTTGTCTTGTTGGATGTCCTGCCAGGAAGGGTCATTCTCTCTCCTTTCTTGGCTGCCCATGAATGTCAGCCCTCCCCAGATGTGGCACCCACTGTCAGCTGACTGCTACGCTCTGCCCCGTTCAGGCTTGTGCGTGGCCCTTGCATCACGACCACCACTGTGATTGGATTCTCCCTTAGCAAGAAACATCTATTTGTTAGCAGCTGAAAGCCTACCTTCACAGTGGTGTTGGGAAGATAAATGACAGAGCTATTTTTGAATTGCTCAGAAATAAATGCTATACACATAAAGAGTTTTTTAAAAAAAAAACTGAAGCCACTTACTGTAATATGGCATAAAAAGACAGTGAAGAGTATATTTTTCTGTACCGTTAAAGCTTACCTTATCCCAAGTGTAAACATTTACTACTACAAGCAGTCAGTTCTACTTTGCTTTGGAAGGCCTGAAATATCAGCCACTCCTAAAGGCTCCCAAGAGTCTGACTTATTTGGATTTAAGCTGAAGAACCCAAAACAACGACTAAGTCACCTCTGGTTCAGAGGGGTGGAAATAAATATCAGAACACGAGGACAGAGCGTGGAAAGGCCCTTTTGGCAGAAGTGTGTGGCTCTGCTTATATAGCGAGCTCTCCCTGGAAAATAGATTGCCGCTGTCTGGGTGAGCTGGGTGAAATGAGGGCGAGGGAGTGGCACTGGGTTGCAAGGTAGATGCCTTCTTTGCTTGGGTGTCCCTTGCTAGGGCAAGTGCATTGCTCAGCACTTGTTTGAGAGCATCTGGAATCCTTTTCATTTTACTCATGGCTCTAATTCAGCCTTGTGTACAGTTAACAGAGCCTGTGTACAAATGTCAGTTATGCCTTGGGATCTACCTTGCATTAAGACGTCTTCGTATTTATGGCTTTTAATGGATAACTTTTAATTTAATTATATTGAAGTTGGAACACATGGTTTGTATGACACATACTCTTTGAAATTTGTTTCTGGAGGATATAGCATATGATTGATTTTTATAAATATCCCACAACTTAAAGAGAATATATATTGTCCAGGTATTGAATGTAATAGTCTATCTATATAGCTGTCTGTATTTGTGCATATGTGTGTGTTAGATCAAGCTTATTAATTGTAATGTTCAAATTTTTTATAGCCTTACTAATTGTTTGTTTGATATAACAGTTTCTGATACAATTTTATTAAAATCTCCTACTTTTCCATTTATCCTTATTATGTCAATTTTTGCTTAATATATTTCAAGGCTATTTGATAGGGGCATATAAATTTGTGACTTTCATTTCTTCATGGTATATGATTCCTTTTTTTTCAATATATTATGTCCATCTTAATTCCTATTCATGCTTTCTGACTTAAGTTCTATTTTGCCTGATAGTAATATCATTATATCAGTTTTCTTTTAGTTAGTATTTACCTGGTGTATCTTTTTATTTCTTTATTTTAAAATGTTTTATGTGTTTATTTGTTTAGATGAGTCTCTTAAATAGCGCATGTTTGAATTTTTCAAAAATCTAATGATAAACTGTCTTTCAATTGGCGTGCGTATTAGTTTCCTATTGCTGTGTAACAAATTTATTATCTTACAGTTCTGGAGGTCAGAAGTCTAAAATGTGCCCATAAGACTGCATTCCTTTTTGGGACGCTAGGGAAGAATCCACTTCCTTGCCTTTTTCAGCTTCTGGAGACCACCTACACTTTTGGTTCAAGGCTCCTTCCTCCATCTTCAAAGCCAACAGCGCAGCATCTTCTCTTCTCTCTGATCTCTTGCTTTTGTCCTTACATCTTCTGTCTTTGACCCTGATCCCCCTATTCCCCCCTTATAAGGACCCTTTTGATTACATTGGACCTGTATTAGTCAGGGTTCTCCAGAGAAACAGAACCAATAAGATATGTGTATATACACACGTACATTCATATATACATACACAGAGAGAGATTAATTTATTTTAAGGAATTGGCTCATGTGAATTTGGCTGACAAGTCCAAAATGCATAGGTCAGGTGACAGGCTGGACACTGAGGCAGTCTCATGTCTGAAATCAGTAGGCCAGGCAGCGGGTTGGACACCCCGGCAGGATAGCTATGTTACGGTTTTGAGGCAGAATCCTTTTCCCTTGGGAAACCTCAGTTTTTGTTCTTCAGGCCTACAACTGATTGGATAAGACCCACACACATTATGGTCATTATAGTCAATTCTTACTTTTTACAATGCCTTATATATTACCATGTGAGCACTTACAAAAGGATGGGGAAATGTGTCTTTGGTTGGCATAAGAGAGCAGAGTTCTTATATCTTTTGCCTTAATTGTGAAAAAACTATAAAAGAAGCTCGAAGGAATAAGGAAATAGGAAGAGAATAAAATTCTAGTTTACCATGGTGGGCATCTTTTCTTTTACCACATAAAAGTCATGGCCATTACAAAATGGATTGGGCTCCTCCTGAGCCATCCCAAGTGACCCATTCAGTGACAAGAGGATGCCAGTGGTGACAACATCAAGACACTTCAGCAGCA